CAGGGCCTCCCCTGCCCGCCGGGCCCAGGGGTGCAGGGAGCAGAGGCAGGATTATATTCCAATATCAGAGCTGACTGCTGTCTGCCAGTGGGCGAGGACCCAGATGGGCCCCCGGCAGGTGTGAGACACGGGGGTAAATGTCAGGAAGGACGCCGGGGGTCAGCACGGAAGGTACAGCTCGGCCTCCACAGCAGGGTCTCAGCCTGAGGCCCGGCCCCTTAGGGAGCCAGGAGAGCACTGGGTGGCCCGGGGTCACCGGTCATCACAGAGGCACCTGAGCTCTGCGGCGCCCCCTGTTGTCGGTCCCAGGAACGGGCATCCCTACAGGTCAGGGCTCGCTGCTGCCAGTCGGCCAGCGTGTCTGCCCGCCACCCCCAGCGCCAGCCTCTGACCCCACCGCCCAGCACCTGGTGGACAGCCCCGCTGTCCCTCTCCCTTCCAGACCCTCATCCACCTGCCAGGAGGTTCCCACGCGCCTCTCCAGAAAGCACGGTTACAGTGCGCGCTGGACCATCCCACACCCCTTCCAGGTGCGATGCACGTGCAGCCAGCTCCGTCTGACTCAGCAACGGGCAGAAAGTAAAAATTACAATTAAAAAAAATAAGACACGGTGACTGTCCCTCAAACCCTGTAACTCCCCGCTGAGTGTCTGGCGGCCACGTGCAGCCGGTGACGGCATGTGACGTGTACCTTCCCCAGGGCTTCACGCTCTGTCCTGTCCTCGGAAAAGTACCAAAGATCTCACTTTTAACCTAATCTTTGAAAATCTCAGTGGGACACCCGTTGCTCCTGATTTATTCTTCATCGCTAAGTGCTTGCTCCGAAGGGGTAACTGGGAGCCACAGACGTAAAGCTCCTGTGGAGCCAGAACCCCCATGGAAGCAGGGAGTCCACGGGAGGGGCACGTGCCCCCACATGGGCAGAGAGGGGCTTGGCAGCGACGGGTTCCGGCCCCGCCCCAGCCCCCACCCCTGGGCCGAGTGCTGGGCCCACGGCTGATGTCACAGTCAGACGTCAGGGAGCCGGGGACGGGTGTTACTTCTCTCGTGGACAATTCCATGGAGCCCTTCACCCCATTAGGCACGGTCGGGGGTGGGGGTTGAGCATGGCAGAGAAACGGAGCCCCCTCAGGGAGGAGACGTGGTCAGGGTTCTGCAAAACGCCGCCCGGGTGGAACCCACGCTGAGGGGAGCGGGCTGCTCCCCGGCCCCTCGGCAACGGGAGCTGCTCGCATCTTTCCGAACAGTGTCTCCGGAGGCGCCCGCTCTCCCGGGAACGAGACAGTTCGCGCCCACGTGCCCTCCCAACCACGGCACGAGGAGCCCAGGTTTAAGAACCCTCAGAAAGTCACAGGCTGCGGCAATACTGACAGTGTCCTCGACACAAAACCCAGGCTCCTCCTCACAGCCAGTGAGCCCCCCTCCCCTGCCGTCTCCTGGTGGGACGGCCGTCCCCCTCCCCGAGGGAGAGCGCCCAGCCATGGCCTCGCACAGGGTCCCACCTGAGGAAGATGGGAGAGCAGCTCGTCCGGCCCCAAGTGTCCCACCGGCTCAGCTCACGGCTAGGCACACACTTTGGAAATGGGCCAGGAAAGCACCCAGAAACCCCGAGGCCGCGTGCCTGTGCGCAGAAAGCGAGCACCAGGCGGCCGCGCCGTTTGCCGGTGTCCCCCTAACGCACCAGCTCCTGTGGGCCCCGCACAGCACCGTGGGCCCACAGTCCACGCGTCCGCCAACAGAGCCCACAGATGGAGCCCATGTGTCCGCGCACCGGAAGGGCCATCCAATGTCAAAAGCTCCTGCAAAAATGCTCCTCTGTACGAACTTGGAGACAAGAGCCTGTGCAAGGAGGGCAAGTGGGTCACCCCTCGGCAGGCAGCCGGGCGCCCGGGACACCACGCGCTGTGGGGCAAGGCTCCCGCCGCGTCAACACACCAGCCTGGTCCACGACGAGGAAAGCAGGAAGCCGGCCGGGTGGGGAAGCGTGACATCCTCAACACCAGCCGCCTGCGCGTCCCCGACAACCAGCCTCTACAACCACAGGCGGCGAAGACAAACAAGAAAACACTCACTCGGAAACGCCCAAGCTGTGAGCCCGGGGACGGCAGAACCTCTCAGCGCCGACACAGCTCTTCCCTGGGGACCGACGTCTACAGTCCCGTGTGCACCGGGGTCTACCTCCACGATGCGGTCGTGGATCTGCAGGCCCCCGTCCTTGGCCGCCGGCCCGCTGTCCACGATCCTGGACACGAAGATTCCTTCACTGGACGAGCCATCCTGGTGGTCCTGGGATTAAAAACACACATGGTGAGCGCAGGCGCCAGTGGGCAGGCAACGCAGCTCACACTCTAGAAACAGCCCATGCGGCAACGCAGTGAACGTGGTCTGTTCCCCCCGTTTCTGTTCTAAACTGAAAGGAACACAGGCGATGGTAAAACAATTCAAACCACACCAGAGGATACAGAATAAATTCGGCCACCGCCAGCCCAGGCAGCCTCGGTCAGCGTTCACACTTCCTCTACACACCACGGCATGTGCCACACATCCACTGTTTATGGTTGGGTCACACCATGAGGAACTGTATTTAAAGGGCCGGAAGGTTGAGAACCACTGCACTATGTAATCATCTCACTGTGACAATAGTGTTTTATTTTTGCTCTGGTTTGCATCAGAAAAGCCATCACCACCGCCCCCCCCATCCTAGTAATTTCTGATCCCCACTCTCCTCAAATCCCTGCAGATCTTCCAGCGCCCGGACAGAAACTTCCAGGGACAGGAGCGAGCTCCCTGCCCACACGCCTTCCTTTTCTCCAAGTCAAAACGCGCCCCCACGCTCATGAAACGCGCGCTCACGGCCTGGTCACGGCCGTCTTCCCAGCAGCACCGCGATGGACTCTCCCAAGCCTGGCACCGAGCGCCAGCGACTTGTAAACTGAACACCCAGCAGTGTGGGTTCCAGACACAACGCCTGGGAGGGCTCAGGCTGCTCACACAAACCCCAAGTCCACGTGGCGGAGACGCCCACCTCCCTGCCAATCTGCACGCAAACTCGGAACTCCGCTTGTTAAAAAATAACTATGGCCCTCGCCGGTGTAGCTCAGTGGTTGAGCATCGGCCTGCAGACTGAAGGGTCCCAGATTCGACTCCCAGTCAGGGCACAGGCCGGAGGTACGGGCTCGATCCCAGTGTGGGGCGTGCAGGAGGCAGCCGATCAGTGATCCTCTCTCATCATTGATCCTCTCTCTCTCTCCCTCTCCCTACCTCTCTGAAATCAACAAAAATATATATATTTAAAAATAACTATGAAAAGACCACATTTTCCTCTTTGAACAGCCATAAAGCCCCTGTGTTCCCCCAGGGGAGGGAGGACTCTGGAGGTGGTTCCATCCACCTGTTCAAGTGCCACAGCAGAGACTAAGGGGGAGCCCACACTCCCCAGATCAGTGGTCGGCAAACTGCGGCTCGCGAGCCACATGCGGCTCTTTGGTCCCTTGAGTGTGGCTCTTCCACAAAATACCACATGCGGGCGCGCATGTACAGTGCGATTGAAACTTCGTGGCCCATGCACAGAAGTCAGTATTTTGTGGAAGAGCCACACTCAAGGGGCCAAAGAGCCGCGTGTGGCTCGTGAGCCACAGTTTGCCGACCACTGCCCCAGATGATGGAACACAGATGATGTTCACAGACACACGGAGCTATAACTGTGATTCACAGAAACCCAAGTCACAGCTTAAAACGAGCAGTCAGTGTTTTTCCCAATATCTACCCGCCTGCCCACCATGTAATGCACACGACAGCCACAAGTGGCACTATTTGTATTCATTCCACACATGGAAAACCTGGGACAGAGAGGTTAAGTAACTTACTCTCTCTCTCTTCCTCTCCCTACCTCTCTGAAATCAACAAAAAAATATATATTTTAAAAAAAACTATAAAAAGACCACATTTTCCTCTTTGAACAGCCACAAAGCCCCTGTGTCCCCCCAGGGGAGGGATGACTTTGGACGTGGTTCCATCCACCTGTTCAAGTGCCACAGCAGAGACTAAGGGGGAGCCCACACTCCCCAGATCAGTGGTCGGCAAACTGTGGTTTGCGAGCCACATGCGGCTCTTAGGCCCCTTGAGTGTGGCTCTTCCACAAAATACCGACTTCTGCGCATGGGCCACGAAGTTTCAATCGCCTGCACGTGGTATTTTGTGGAAGAGCTACTCTCAAGGGGCCAAAGAGCCACATGTGGCTCACGAGCCGCAGTTGCCGACCACTGCCCCAGATGATGGAATGCAGATGATGTTCACAGACACAAGGAGCTATAACTGTGATTCACAGAAACCCAAGTCACAGCTTAAAACAAGCAGTCAGTGTTTCTCCCAATATCTACCCCCCTGCCCACCATGTAATGCACACGACGGCCACAAGCGGCACTATTCCTATTCATTCCCCACATGGAAAACCTGGGACAGAGAGGTTAAGTAACTTGCCCAAGGTCACACAGCTAAAAGGTAGCATAGGTCAGGTTCAAACTCAGGATAGTCTGAATGCGCCACTGTTCGAGTGCACACTCTGAGTGCAATACTGTCTCCCACCGAGAAACGTCTAAAACACACACACGGATGCAGAAGACCAGCATTCCAGGGGGCGGAACATTCCACCAGAGACGCTGGGGTGTCTCCGTGGACCACAAAGGATTTATGGACAAGCCCGAGCTCTCCCTCGGAGGTGATGTCAGCAGAGCGAGTGAAAGAGATCTGTGTTCACTCTGCTCTAACGGCTGCGCATTTCTTGGCTGGAAGGAAGAGGGAGATGGGATGGGGTTTTGGCTTGGGTTCCTCTTGCAGAAAACGGCAGCCAACACGAGTCACTGTTCTCTAGGAGCATCTGAACGTCCCAGCAAAACCCAGAGAGAAGGGGCAACAGGGAACACCAGTTTAGGTTAAAGCAAGACCGTGTAGGCCCAATGCTAAATCTGCCTGTGCTCTATAAATGCAACGACCAAGCTGGGAGACAGCACCTCTGTGCACAACACAGTTTCGACACCATTCAGGTGACCCCACATGGAGCTGACACCCTGACCGCAGGTTTGCCTCCTCCCCGGAGCCGGGTACCGACACACCCTGGCAGTTACGCTGATGGATGGGAACTTGGCCCCTTCTCTCCAGACAAGGAGGTGGACCAGGCCATGGGGGGAGGAAAGAAGCTCACAGACCCACAACAAGGGCCCATCCCCGACTTGTGGCGATGACCCAGAGCGGAGCCCACACTCCAGTTCAGTGCCACCTGCACGCACCCCACCACCTGGGCAGCTCAACTGCCCCACACGCAGACGTCACCCCCAATCCGAGCAGCGTGAACAAGCCACATATTACCAGGACAATGCCACCGTAGAAGACAACCAAACAGAGTCCCTGAGTGTGGGAACGAGACATAAATAATGAAGTCTCCAACTACAGGAGTGAGCGAAGGACGCGATGGAGGTTCCGCCCTCCCTCCCCAGGCCCGTCCCTCTCCCGGCCGCCCAGGGAAGGAAAACCACTGAGGGAGGAAGGGACCTACCGCACACGGCCGTCCCCCGATGATGTTGAAGCCGAGGGAGCCAGCGTCGCGGTGCAGGACCAGGGTCAGGCTTTTGGTCTCTTCGCCCTGCAGGGAACAGAGGAGGTCACAATTACTCACCAACAGAAAGCAGGTGGCAGGGACTCGCTCCATCTAAGTGGACTCATGGGTCACCAGCTGACCATCACTCTTGGGAAGTGTAAGTAAGGGAACTGCTGGGCCAAGCGGAAGCCATGCCCTGTGTTTAGGTTGGGAACACCTTGCGGCCCTGGTGTGACCATGGGAGACTCCTGGCGAGCGCCTTCCATCAGACCCTGGTCTGCAGTGCATCTTCCCATGATGCACCCGGGTACTGGGGCTGTCAGCACCATTGTCTGTCTGCTCCCCACCTGAGCACCCCCATTAGGTCAGGAACGGTACCCACAGCCTGCCCGGCTGTCTGAGCACATGCGCGGCCGTCCACAGTCCTCTCTGCTGGGGTGACGTTGCGGACAGCACATGGAAAGTCAGGTGCAGCCCCCCAGTGGGGTTCAGTGGTTGAGCAGCAACCTATGAACCAGGAAGTCATGATCAATTCCTGGTCAGGGCACATACCCAGGTTGTGGGCTGGAGCCCCAGTAGAGGGTGTGCAGGAAATAGCTGATCAATGATTCTCTCTCATCATTGATGTTTCTCTCTCTCCCTCTCTGAACTCAATAAAAATATTAAAACAAACAAAAAAAGTCAGGTGCAAACCCGAGGGAACCTGAGGAATCCTGATCTAGTGAAAGGGCGGGCGTTGTCACAGGTAACAGGGAGACCACAGGAGGTGCAGCGCGGAGTGACTGACAGCACTCGGCTCAAGGCGGGCGGGTCAACACGAAGCCTCACAACAAACACGCGGAGTCGCCGGGCAGGTCTCATGGGTGCCTGTCCCGGGACGGAGAAGCCAGGGCTGCCGAGCAAACTCGCTCACGGAACAGACCGATGAACACGAACAGATGAGCCCCCGTGCGTGCGAACTGTGACCTGACGGGTGTGGCGTTAACCCCACGCTTGCTGACACACGGCTGACATGTTGCCGTTTGCACATCATGTGTGTGTACTGACTGTAAGCTCGCAATTGCTTTGCTCACGTATCCTGTTTCAACACTGGCTTATTTAAACGTGGCATTTTAAAACATGAAGCCCTTCATTATAAGCTTTCTTGGAAACACTGACAGCTTATCGCACGAGAGACTTTATCCTGATATTTACTGTTTCCTGATCAAACCTTTGCCTCCTGCTCTTTCTGGGAATAAATGCAGTACCTGCGTGGTCTGGGCTCAGCTCTGACTGACCACTCTGCCCCGGCCTGGGGTCTGGGTGGGGCTCCATCACCCATGCTGTGCACAGCCTGCTTCACATGGGCCGGACAGCTGTGCCAGAGGAGCCGAACACACAGAACACAGACACACACACACACACGCACAGATCCTCTCCCACACACACACACACATTGCCCTCCCCACACACACACACACACACACACACATTGCCATCCACACACAGAACAAACACACATACACACACACACACACCCTCTCCCACACACATACACACACAGATCCTCTCATACACACATAACACACACACACACACACACACACACACATTGCCCTCCACACACAGAACACAGACACACACACACACGCACAGATCCTCTCCCACACACATACACACACAGATCCTCTCATACACACATATCACACACACACACACACAGGCACAAACAGGCACAAACAGACACACACATAAGATTAATGGAGAATGCGCGATCACATCACTAAAAACATCAGCTTCAAGTCTCTCTTCCCCGATGGCACGTGTCCCCGGGAGCCAGAACCCAGGGGAGCAAGGAGCTCCCCCCGAGAGCCTGGGGTCGGGGGAAAAGAAAGACGCCTGCCATCCTGCGGTCCAGCGACATCCCTGTCTCCTTGTGGGGAGGGGCAGGGGGCTCTAGCAGATCCTCAGCGCCCCAGCGTCCAGCCAGGACCCCGCCCAGGGGCGGTCGGGCCCCCAGAACACTGCAGGGTCTCGTTGGACGGTCACATCGTGTCCACCCGTAAGTGCCAGCAGAAATGGAAGCTCGGTGTGCACAGCCTCACAGTGATTCACTAAGATGACACGCTAGAGCAGGGGTGGGGAACGTCAGGCCCACGGGCCATAGAAGGCCTGTGAAATCATTTGGTCCGGCCTGGCCAAGGCATGAGGGGTGAGCTAATTAAATGTTTGACCGAATAGAGCAGGCTACTTTTTTTTTTAAAGTTGAATTTTGTCTGGGCTGGGAATGATGTTATAAATATCCAAACGGCCTCTGCACTAGATCAATGTTAAGACTGCCCAGATCACAGTCTGCCCAGCTTTCAACTCAAGGTCTAACTGGGTAAGAGTTTTGGGGGGAATAGAAGTCACAGGGAACAAGGAAAAATCAAATGTCCTTTGTCAAAAGACACCTTATGGCGGCTGTTTATTTTTATAGAATGCAAACTGCCTTCTATGGGCAAAGTCCCGCTTCTATGTCACTGTTCTCCAAAAAGCCCAGCTGGGGCGCTTGGACGCACGCCACCTCCTGTGGGTGTGGCGGTCCCCGGCGTCCGTCCACGCCTGTCAGTGCGGTCTCTCTCCTCCCCAGGACGGGTGTCCCTGGTTCCCGCGGTTGTGGGACTCGCTGCCCGGCGGGTTCTGAGAACTGTAATTGACTGACCGCCCGTCTGTGTATCTGGGGGACCCGACACCTCAGCCTCGGATTATGCGAAGCTCCCAGAGACTGCACAGCTGGGACGCGGCTCCGTCTGCGGCCCGGTGACGGGAAAGCGCAAAAATGTGCAGGGCGGGGGCGGGGGGAGCGGAGCTGGTGCCAGACATTCCATGTAAAGAAGGCGGTGTCTCACTCCCTACACAAGACGTCTGGGTCCTGTCCTTCAAACTGATCCTAACGGTCAGCGGCACGGACCAGCCCCACCCCCTGCCACGCGCCTCCCTTCCAGGAAAAGAATTCTCAGAGGAAGGACAGAGAGGAAGCGCTCAGGCCTGAGGGTGAGTCACTGGGACGATGCTCGGAAGTGAATTCAAAGAGCCCTGGCGGGTGTGGCTCAATGGCTAGAGCGTCGGCCTGAGGACTGAAGGGTCCCAAGTTCTATTCCAGTCAAGGGTATGTACTTGGGTTCCAGGTTCCCCGGTCTTGGTCAAGGTGCGTGGGGTAGGCAATCAATTGATATGTCTCTCTCACATCCGTGTTTCTCTCGTCTCTCCCTCTCCCTTCCACTCTCTCTAAAAATCAATGGAAAAATATCCTAAGTGAGGATAAACAAAAGGAAAAAAAACAAACAACACAAAACAACAAAGTGGATGAGAGTCAACGGAACTGTTATCAACTCGTATCTGTCCCCAAAGTCAGTGCGGACAGGGGAAGAGAGACACCGGGGACAGGGGACATGGACAGGGAACAGAAATCACTTGTTCAGACACAAAATGGTCATCCATAAGCCAAACAGACTTTTAAAAAATAATGTGAGAAAAATACGTGAAGAGTCTCAGTGCTTCCCTGGCCAAATACACATGTCCGTCTGCTGTTACATGAAATAACCTGCGGATGCCCGAACATCCGCGTCCCTGGCCCCGGAGTCTGACGTCAGGGTGCACCCTCGGTCTCACGCGGGGCTCGCCCGCGTTCCTGGTGAAATCTGAGCGTCTGCCCACGCGTCCTGGGCACCAACGCCCCGTCCAAGGCGCCACCGCTGCTCACGCTCCCACGCGGTGGATGGCAGATGGTGGCTCCGTGCCTGAAGGTAGCCCCCAGCTCCCCATCCTGAAGCGTTCCTTCCCCAAATCAGAGGAAGGCACAGGCTGCCCAGGGTGACAGGCCTCTCACAGGACAGCAGGGGCCGTGGGGCGGACCTCCCCAGCTGTGATTCCGAGGGACGAACACGTCACACGGCAACCTGTGGCTTCACCTGGTCACCAGCCTCCCCTCCTTCACGCCTCCGCCTGGAGCAGAGGCCAGGGATGCTGCTCAGCAGCCTTCAGGGTCCTGCACGCCCACCCCCGACACACAGGCCACGAGAGCGCAGGGCCGAGGTCCGGAGGCCCCGGTGTGGGCAAAGGTGGGCATCCGATGGGGCTGAGACCAGTGCCCACCTTCAAGGCACAGGCATGTGTGGGGGTAAACTCTGCAGGATTGAAGGACAGACGGTGTGGGGGGGGGGCACAGCAGAGGGGTCAGGAGGAGCCCCACGTTAACAATTCCGGGGACGCTGTGCCCAGAAATCCCAAGATGCTTTGCTGTGGAATGCCTGTTCTCAGAATCAGGTGGGCACGTCACAGAGGGAAACCAAGGCTGGGAACGGAGCCCTTTCGCTCGCTCGAGCCCAGCATCGCCAAGGCTGTGGCAGCCCACACGGGGCTCCACGTCGGTTAAAGCAAGGCCGCCTAACGGACCACATCGTGCAGGCGGTCAGGGGGTTCCGGAACTCGCCCTGGTGTTCCCCAGAGCGTTCAGGAGGGCCGTGTAGACAACGATCGGGAAGTAAGTACCGCGCAGAGGAGCCCAGCACATGCTTCTCCGCACGGAACCGAACCTCTGTCGAGCTGAGAAGCTACGAAGTGTGACAGGTGGCCCGCCTGGCTCGGAGCGTGTCACCAACTCGGACCCCACGCCGGTCATGGGTCAGAACCTCGGAGTAAGACGCAAGAATCTGTGTGAATCAGCTCTCCCGGTGATTCCGATCGTGCGTGGGGTGTTCGAGAAGCGAACCTGAGAACAGCACCAGCACACCCTGAGCACTCGGCCGGCGAAGACACATTAGACGACGCCAGGGCGTTTTATGGGACAAGGGCAAGGCCCTGAAGCGCTGGTGCCGAAAGTTCCTGGCCGCGTCTCCTTCAGCTGCCACAGGTGCAGACATGAGGGCGCATAAAAAGGCAGGACCTTCCTCGGGACACCGACCCGCCTGCCTTTGGAGAATAAACAGTGTCCGTCCGGCGGGGCAGAGTTCACCCGATGCAATAAGCCAGTTCTCACACAGCCTGCGGAGCAGCAAGGGCCCCGAGGGGGCACCTGGGGCCGGAGGAGCATCCAGGAGCCCTAGCTGAGGCGGGGCTGGTGCCAGAGAGGAACCAGCGCAGCCCTCCGGCCGCTACTCTTGGGGCTCGGCTGGCCCCGGGAGCAGTTGGGGAGACTTGCTCTGTAAACTCCACAGGCAACATCTGGGCCCCCAGCTGAAGGCCCCCGATCACCCTCCCCCTCAGAGCTTCACCAGCGTCCAGTGTTCATCCAAGTTCCGTATTTTTGATTCTGAGAGAAATTTACCCAAACACTCCAGAAAGGAAACAGAAAGGCAAGAGAAATAAT